GATGCTGGGGTCAGAAATAACACAGTGTGGAGCTGGAGGAACACAGCTGGCCAGGCAGCGTCAGGGGAGCAGGGAAGCTGACGTTTCAGGTCGGGACCCTTCTTCAGAAATGGGGAGGGTGAAGGGAACTGGGAAATAAATAGAGAGAGGAGCGTAGGGCTGGGGAAGGTAGGTGGCATGGTGATAGGTGAGTGTAGGTAGGCAGTGGTGGGGATTGGTCAGTGAGGTGGGAGGAGCAGATAGGTGGGAGAGAAGATGGACAGGTTGCGTCAGGTCAAGGAGGCGGGGATGAGAGGTTGGGTTGGTCATGGAATGAGGCTGGGATGGGGGTTGGGGAGATTTTAAAACTGGTGAATTCCATGTTTAGGCCATCGACCTGGAGGGTCCCAAGGCAGAATATGAGGTGCTGCTCCTCCAGTTCTGGGTGGCATCATTGTGACACGGTGTGCGTGGCTACTCATCAAGCTCAGTAACCTTTTCCCATTTTGTCCCCATACCCTTTAATCCTTTTATCCCTGAAACATTATCTAACTCCAACACACTGAATGTTTTCAAGATGGCCTTGACTGCTTTCAGTGGTAGTGAATTCCACAGGTTCACTCTTCGGCTCAAGAAATTTCCATTCATTTCAGTCTGAAATGTATCCTTTGACTGTGACCTCATGTTCTGGTTTCTCTGGTCATTGGAAGCATCCTTCCTGTGTTGACCCTGTCTATTCCTGTTAGAATGTTATTGTTTTCTTTGTAGATTAGAAGAATGAATAGGAATCTTGGTGATTTTAGTCCAAACCATTCCAGCCCTTCTTCAGAAGGCAGCAGACACACGGGAACACCATCCCCTGCAAGTTCCCCAACAAGCCACATACCATCTTGACTTGCCAGTATATCTCCAGTCCTTCACTGTTGCGGCATCAAAATGCTGGAATTTCTTCCCAAAGGGCATTGTGGATCAATGGACAGCAAATGGACTGCAGAGGTTCAAGGAGGCAGCTCACCATCACCTTCTCGAGGGGCAATTTGGCATGGGCAATAAATGCTGGACCCAGGCACCAATGCCCACGTCCTATGTGAACAAAAAAAATGTCCTTCTACCCAACGAATCAGTCTGGGAAACATTTGGTTAACTCTCACAACTGACCGTCCAGCACGACCTCATAGCACATGTAATACTGTCTGTTACCACAATGTAATCTGCTACCAGTTGCGACCATGAAATAGATCTTATTGACCACAAGGGACTTCTCTCATATGGCCAATGCGCAGTTTCTCTCCATCCACACTAAATGGCACTGTACATGCCTGCACCCAGAGGACTGTAGCAGTAAAGCTGCCACGCAGTGAGATGTAGACTCAGTCCAGGTGCACAGCCAAGAGGTTTCACAATGCTTGAGAGGCCAATTTGGTAGCTTTTCGACAAAATTATCCAGCAACTTTAAAGTTTTCGAGAAGACTCGTAGCTTGGGTTGTGGATGAGGTTGTAGACATGTTCGCTGAGCCAGTGGGTTTGGTTGCAAACATTTCGTCACCCTGCTAGGTAACATCATCAGTGCGCCACCAGTAAGGCATCGGTGTTCTGTCCCGCTTGTTATTTATATGTCTCGGTTTGCTAGGGTGGTTGATATCACTTCCGGTTCTGTTTCTCAGTGGTTTGTACACAGGGTCTAATTCAATGTGTTTGTTGATGGAGTTCCAGTTGGAATATCAGGCCTTCACGAATTCCCTGGCGTGTCTCTGTTTGGCTCGTGCGATTATGGATGTGTTGTCACAGTCAAATTCGTGTTCCTCCTTGCCCATGTGTAGTGAGACAAGTGAGAATTGGTCATGTCTCTTGGTGGTTAGTTGGTGTTTGTGCATCCGTATTGTCAGTTTTCTTCCAGTTTGGCATATGTAATGTTTCTAACAGTCCCTGAATGGTATTTTGTATATTGTAGCAGTTTTGCTGGAGAAACAGAACCGGAAGTGATACCAACCACCCCAGCAAACCGAGGCATATAAATAACAAGCGGGACATAACACCGACACTTTAGCGCAGGGGCACTGACGATGTTACCTGGCAGGGTGACGAAACATTTGCATCCAAACCCACAGGCTTGGTGAGCCCGTCTACAACCTTATACAATAACTATTCAGTTTCACAATCAACCATTAAAACTTTCATGGGCCCGATGTAGGTCGAATGTTTATTTAATACCTTCCAATGAACCAGTACTTTTGGGGCAGATTCACAAAAGCGTGGTCAAAGGGTTTAGTTAGGAACAGCTTCATGGAGAAGTGAGTCAAAGCCGTTTAGTTGTCAAGTTCAGCATCTGGTGTAAATGATAGGGCACTGGAGAAGAACACTGGGCCTTTTATGTCTTGTCTGTACAAAAGGATTGTCCTAAATCGATCCCACTCCCTGGCTGTTGCCCCAGCTCTATTGTTAAAGTAACCATTGACTCCATTCCCAGGAAGCATGTTTCCCATGTCACAGTGCCCGAGCCAGAGAAAGTATGGAACAAGCCTTTGTATTGTCATTTGGGAATGAACATCAGATACAATTTCTGTTGTCACAATAGTCAGTTTTTGCTCGTGACAGCTATTGTCAATTTAAGAAAGTAATAGAAAGATGTAGAACAGAGAAATCGGCCTAACAAATTTCAAATTGCACTTCAACTAGCTACTGCTAAGTGCAGTTCAATTGATCTGTGCAATAATTTTGTTTAAAATTTTATCAATTAACAGTGAAACTTTAAATTTATCCAAATTTGAAATCACTGGCTTTCCAACCAAAATGAATCAGATGAGATTTACATTTTATTTAAAATTGTCATTTATGCATGAAATCAGTGGATTTCTTACTGGATGGGAAGTGGTTAAATATGTTGTCATTCTGAAGAAAAGCAGCGGACCTAATTCGTAAAATTCTGTCTCTGCACTATATTTGCAACAGACAAGAGGCATCTCAATAACTGTTTTACCATTTATGATCATTTATTTTGGAATCAATATTTGTGAACAATTAAAGATAGTATTTGCAAATAAAAAAAAGTGGAAGTCGTGGTGGGGGGCAAGAATGGGCTTTCTGTGTACTTTTGTTTCCCACCAACGAATGCTGGATTCTGTGGGGCAGTTTTATTGCGAGGGAGGCGTGGAGACCTGCAAGGCAAGGAGGAAGATGCACGTTCTCATGCTGCGTTGGCTGCATGCAAGCTCTCTCACTCGACTCTCAGGATACATCCTGGTGCCACGTCTCCGGCGTAGCTGTCAATCAGAGGTCGGCCGGTGGGCGGGGCAGGGACAGACCCCGCCTCCTCACGGGCGGTGTTCACCCGGGGGCGTTGATGGGCGGCGGCGGCGGCCAATCGAGAGGCGGGGACGTGCGAGGGGGCGGGGTCTCGGTGGCGGTGGGAACCAATGGGAGGTGCTTAGACTTGTCGGCGGCCACGCCCCCTCGGGAGGTGGGTGTCCGCCGCGTATCGAGGCCGCTCTTGTCGCTGAGTGAGGGAAGGAGGGAAGGAGAGATTCCGAAAGAGAGAGAGAGAGAGACAGGGAGTGTGTGAGAGGAGAGCCGACACCATGTGCGGTGAGTGAAGGATAGCTATCGCCCTCGCTGTCGCGGTGCGGTTCCCCCTCAGCACCATCACCACCGGCGGCGGTTACAGGGGCGCCCTGGGCCCTCGGCCCCACCCCCACGGCCCGGGTACGGGGAGTGTATTTGCAGGGGGTCGGTACCCGCTATCCAGGGGAGGGGAAGTGCCTCCAGAGGCTGATAACCTGCCCCTAGCTGTACCACCACCTTCCCCATCCCAGGGCTGATCCCCAACCTCCTCAACCGGATCCCAGAGGGATTCCCCATCCCAGGGCTGATCCCCAACCTCCTCGACCCGATCCCAGAGTGATTCCCGATCCCAGAGTTGATCCCCAACCTCCTCGACCCGATCCCAGAGGGATTCCCCATCCCAGGGCTGATCCCCAACCCGATCCCAGAGTGATTCCCCATCCCAGGGCTGATCCCCAACCTCCTCGACCGGATCCCAGAGGGATTCCCCATCCCAAGGCTGATCCCCAACCCCTCAACCCGATCCTAGGGTAATCCCTATCCCAGGGTGATCCCCGACCTCACAACCCGATCCCAGGGTGATCCCTCTCCCAGAGTGACCCCCAACCTCACAACCCGATCCCAAGTTAATCCCTATCCCAGGGGTGATCCCCAAGTTCACAACCCAATCCCAGGGTGATCCCCAACCTCACAACCCGATCCTAGGGTGATCCCTGTCCTACATCACCACCCTGGGGTAATTCCTATCCCAGGGTGATCCCCACTCTCACAACCTGATTCAGGGTGATCATTATCCCAGGGTGTTCCCCAGTCCCAGGTTAATCCTTATCCCAGGGTGATCCACAGCCTCACAACCCCATCTCAGGTTGATCCCTATCCCCACGTGAGCCCCATCCTCGGCATCTGATCCGGGGTGATCCCCAGTTTCACATCCTAGCATAATCCCTATCCCAGGATGATTCAAAACCTCACAGCCCTATCTCGGGGTGATTCCTATCCCCAGTTTACCCCCGTCGCACCACCCAATCCCAGGCTAATCCCTTACCCAAGGTGATCCCTTGCCTCACAAGCCAATCCAGAGGTGATCGTTATCCCAGGTGATCCCTATTCTCACAAACCCATCCCAGATTAATTTCTGTCCCAGAGCAATTCCCAGCCTCACAACCCGATCCCAGGGTGATCCCCAAACTCAGAAACCCATCTCAGGGTTACCCCTATCCCCAGGTGCGCCCCCGTTTCACAACCCGATCCCGCGGTGTTCCCTCTCTTGGTGTGATCCCCAGCTTCTCAACTGCATTCTATGATTATCCCTGAGCATCTTGACCCCATCCCAAGGTGATCCCTCCCTACTGCACTCCCACCAACCCGAGCCTGGGATGATTGCCCCAGCACTGCAACCCCTGTCCAGTGTGATCCTCAGCCCCACTTCTGTCCCAATGCCCCCCTCCCTTCCTGGTGCAGTCCCCATTTTCACAGCTCCATCCACCCCTGGGCGGTCTATATCGGCCACAGGGCTCTCTGTAACAGTGGCCGTGATGACACAGTGGATCTGGCTGTGATGTTCTCTGTGCCTCTGCCACAGGAGTGTAATTGTGGTACTTGCCATGTGCGCTGTGATGCTGCGAGTGGGCTGATGGCCAGGATCTCCTCATCTGTTCTGACTGTGATGTTCACTGCGACTGCTCACTGTGATGCCGTGGGAGGGCTTGCTGGCCAATCCAGTGAAGCTGGTTGAGACGTTGACAGAATTGGAGTGATGCTCCTAGTGGTGCCATAGTCAGCTTAGTCTGTGATGGTGTCTGAGAGCCCACCACTGGTCTTGCTCTGCGTGCTAATCTCTCAGATTTAGTTGGTGCCTTGCCATGACGGTGCCTGTGACAGTGGGACTGATCTTGTTGGTGGCTGAGTTGTGGCAGTGTGGCCAGCTGTGATGCTTGCCCCACCACCAGAGTAAATCTGGCCTTTTTACTACATTCATTAGTCATCCCTTGGTTACCCTTGCAAAGGCAGTTGGCGGTGAGCTGCCACTTTGAGTAGAACTGAGTGATGGCGATACCATTTCAAAAAGGCAGTTTCAAGTCAATCAGATTGGCTGTGTGGCTGGGGTCACCTGCAAGAGAGTCTGGGTCAGGACTTGAAGTGAACACCACTGAATCGAACGTGTTTTGATGGCACTTGGCTAGTCTCATGCTTCTTAACTTGAACTTCTTTATTCCAAGTTTCATTCACTTGAGTTTTAAGTCCCCAGTTGCAGTAGTGAGATTGGAACTTGTGTCTCCAGATTGTCTGCACTCCACTGGATCACAAGCCCCATGGCACAGCCTCCAGCCTACTGTTTCCCTGTTGTGCCATAGGCCTTAACACTCACTGTGATATCAGGATGTGAACGTCATTCTTTCTGATGAGATGTGGGCTAGGGCCCTCCTAGATCCTTGGGTGACTGTATATTTCCAATTTGCTGTCCTGTGTCATGATGCAGACTCCACCTAAACAGGTTCCAGATCATGGGCTTTGATCCAGGATTCTTGTCATTTTTAAAGAACAGTGCATACACACACAGTACTAGGAAGTGGAACTGAACATAATTCAGTTTGTCATGTCAGTCCTTTGAACATTATGTTCTTAATTGAGTGGGTGATATCCCATTGAAATATTACAAAAGAAATTGATATTTCACAAGTTTCAAAATCTCCCCTCCCCCCACCGCATCCCAAAACCAGTCCAACTCGTCCCTGCCTCCCTAACCTGTTCTTCCTCCCACCTATCCCCTCCTCCCACCCCAAGCCGCACCTCCATCTCCTACCGACCAACCTCATCCCGCCCCCTTGACCTGTCCGTCCTCCCTGGACTGACCTATCCCCTTCCTAACTCCCTACCTACACTCACCTTTCCTGGCCCCATCCCCGCCTCTTCGACCTGTTTGTTTCCTCTCCACCTATCCTCTCCTCTATCCCTCTTCTATCCGCCTCCCACTCTCTCCCTATTTATTTCAAAACCCCCTTCCCCTCCCCCTTTTCTGATGAAGGGTCTAGGCCCGAAACGTCAGCCTCTCTGCTCCTATGATGCTGCTTGGCCTGCTGTGTTCATCCAGCCCTGCACCTTGTTGTCTCGGATTCTCCAGCATCTGCAGTTCCTACTATCTCTGATATTTCAATATGTTGTGTTCTTCAAAACCTTATTTTCACCTACAGTAACTATTTTCTGTGCCACTGTACTGTTCACAGTGATGAGTAGAAAGCTGTAGAGATGATAGGCCACAAAGAAATTGATTCTAAGTTTTCAGATGGAGAAATTTGCGTTCATCTGATTTCTCAACCTCGTTTGTTCATTTTTATAAGCTGTATTTCAAAATACATATCCATTCTCTTTCCAAATGGGGCCTTGCCCTCAATAGCCACTTACAAGAACACAATCTGTCTTTAAGAGAAGGTAGATTATGCTGAAACGATGAGGTATGGAATGCCAATTAGACACAGATAGAGTACAGTGTATACTTCTGGTTACCGCCCTTTGGTATAGTGTGAGTATGTCCAAGTGTGTGCAGTGGAGACATATGAGGGTGGCTACCTAATCTGGAGAATTTTAGTTGGAACAAATGTTAAGACACACAAGGGTTGTCGTCTTTGGAGTAGGAGATGCTCACAGTGTTTGCTTCAGCTACCCTATCTCACGGTTGATATTTGCTGACAGGCCCCATCCTCTTGGTGACTGAAGGGTGACCTGATTGAAATGTATGAAATAAAGTTGATGTGAATAGGAAGGTGCCAATTCCACACAATTGAGGAAGCCACAGCCAGTGGCACCAATGTCAGCCAGGAGGTTTACAGGAGATTCGAGGGGCTATGTTTGCAGGAGCTGGGTATCTCCAGCTATCAGGCAGTGTGAGTTGGTGGAAGACACAGAAACCTCATAACTTGGATAGACTCTTTCAAGCGCGACAAGGCTGCAGAGGAGGTGCAGGAGAGTCTGTGGGATTTGGCTGGGCAGCAACTTGTTGGCTAGCAGTGACAAATGATAGACCAAATGGCCTCCTCTCATGTCGTAAATTTCTATTGATTCAGTGTGTTTTACACCCTTAGCTATTCGTCTGTCTCTATTTCAATGATTCATTAACCAGTGGAAGCAATTTCTCATTCATCTCTCAGAGTGATGATTGGTTTCCTTTGGCATATTGTTTTTGGGTCAAGTTTTGGGTGTAAGAATTGAAATGGGTGTCCATCTGGCAAGCTTGAAGCACGCTTCATAACTTAGCATGGTGAAAAACTTTCTTCTTCATTGAGGTGTTAGGCTGGAGCTCAGAAAGGAATGAGTTGTGCCTATTTCCCTGTCAGCAAAGGCTGGTCGGATGCAGTCAAGGTGGAGTCAGAGTGTGAATGAAATTACCATGAAATTAACACTGGGCTCCAAATCAGGTTTGGCAATGAAGCCAACTTCCTTGTACTTGACTAGTAAATCAGTTGTCAGTCTTAAGCTGATTTGGTAGATACTTTGGAATGTGAGTAGAAGCTCTAAATGAGAGGAAATTTTAGTAATATTGAAGGTAATCTTACAAGTAGAACTCTGTTCAGATCACACCTCAGTCTCAGCCATTTCATTTTCACTCTGTAGCCTGCCCGTACTCCTGAATTTGCATGATGATTTGTGTTGATCACTGTGTTGTCATTGAGAACTGAAAGTCTTCTCCGTTTTGTTTATTTAATGTCGTCATTGAGCTCCATCAGATGAATAGTCGTCAGGTATCTGGTGACTACTCGCTGTCAAAGAACCCAATGTCAGCATCAAACAATGCTCGATTGAGGGCTGAGCCAAACTTCCAAATGTTCTCCAAAATTGTGCCTTAACTCTTCCAAAGCGTCAGTCACTCCCAGTGGATCAAATCACAATTTCACAACCAAATTAATGGTAGTCTTGTGCTGTTGGATCATATCCATTATGAAGCAGGTCAAGACTGTCTTGCCAGCTAGCAGACAGTAGAAACCTTCATCTCGTTCGTGTGGACTGCATTGAAAGCGAGACCCCAGAGG